CTTTCGTCTAATTTCTTTAATATGCGCTTGAATTCTTGTGTATTTTTGGCTGCCAATACCTTCCTTTTCAGCTGAAGTGAAAGAAATACGAAATATTGGGACCGAAGTCATTGAGAAATTTGAAGAAGAGTGACGCTATCCCGCTTGAACAATATCGGATTTTTTTGACACGCATAGGTGAAACCCCGACTCATTTTTTAAATCTATACTCAGTGAAGCTTTGCTTTGCTGTAGGTCGAGGCTTTTGTTTTTATGTATTTTTTTTTTCTTTTCTAACTCTTCACAGGTTCCATTATGAAGCCGATTTTTTAGTTTTTCCATGTCTCCGAGGTAGCTTTAATCTAACAGCTTGTTTGAGTCTCATTTTTTTACTCACTGATTTTAAATTTGGAACTTACTGCCAAAGAAATTTTTTAAAATAAACTTTACTACTACGGCATGCTTTGATACAGCAAGCAATATAATATCGTGCTTAGCGATCATTTTTCCAGCGTTCTGCCCACATCGATAAACCAAGCAGAAAGAACCTAAGATGTCTGCCTACCAAAAAACGCTGTTCCTAAGCCTACTGACGAAAACAATGTTGATTAACACCTGTGGTGGTGCTCAAATTCAAAGCGGTAGACCTCGTTATTTTGTACATTTACCACATGCCAGTGGCGGCCAGAGACTTCGTCGTTAAGCCTTTCCGATTTTTTAAAAAATTCATTATAGGCAAAATGTCAATGTTTTCCTCTGAAACCGATAAGGTTATCTTTTTCCTCTCCATGTGCCTGTGTTATGCGCTTGATACTTTGCACTTTGTTTTTATGGCGATAGTTTCCGGTAAAATGTCGAGAATGGTGATGATGATCGGTTCTCTTTGAAGTTCCCGTTCTTAAGACGACTGGGACATTGGCTTTCGTTTTTCCGTTCCATTCCACTAAAATCTTTTTGAAACTAAGTTTAACGAAGGATTCATTCAAATGAAGCCCTACGAAACTATTAGATTTACCTACTGTTAAATGTTTTCCATAATTGATTCTTCGAATTTAGGAATATTTTTCTCTTGAGAGGGTATTGTCTGTGAATTTATCATTCCTATTGCATATTTTTTCCCCTTCAACGTGCTGATGTAGCCAGTGGCTTCTAAACTGATACAAGAATCGTGCAGTGAATAGGAAGTAAACCTTAAGAACCATGAAGTTGGTGAGTATTGGCTCTTTAAAAACATTGCATTTGTTTGAAGTCACACCAACCGAAAAGTGTCTAACACAAAGAAACTCTGTTTTTTTTTTCGAATGATGAATGATGGATGGATGCTCTTTTTAAAAAACCAGAGAGGCAAAGCAGGAGCTGCAAGGAAAAAGGATTAGTATCCAAACTGAACTGCTATCAGAAAGCGAATTTGACACAAGTTGATGTTCAGTTCAAGTCAGTTTTGGGCACCTTGCAAAATTGACATTGTACTTCGAACACCTTCCATACATTGACACCAATATTTTTTATTGACACTAGAGCTATGACACTGGAGCTGTGAAGTGGAAAAAGCTTCAGGAAATGTGGGCGGCCCCTGAATTTATGAATGTGTGCGTGTTTCTCGCAGCCTCGCGCTTGCGGGTGAATCACTTTTCTAGACTTAATATTTCTTTAAGAGTTTCAAGATTGGTACCTTGACCAGTTTTCAGGCGTACACGATTTATGCTATTGCTTTAAAAAGACCGTCCTGAACAGGACTAGAAGGAAGAGCGTATTATAGGAGAAAAGTTAATCACGTATTTTATAAAACGAAGTAAAAAAAGTACTTTCAAAGGATATCTCACTCACTATCGTTTATCACACTGTCTGCTAAGTTAGAAGTCCAAAATAAGTGGTTAGCCCGTTTAGCGTGTCCTTAATTTTGTTGCGTGCGAATTGCCATAAGCTTTTTTTTAACAGTGAAAGCGAGAGCAGTTGTCTGAATGATAATTGCATTAGTTTGCAGTATTTGCTTATTCTTTTGCAGCTTTATATTGTTAGTTATTAAATTTTTTTTGTTCGAAAATTCGTCGCTATTCGCGTAGAATCAAATAAACAATAAAAAACTGGAAAGCTTTAACAATACGTCGGTACTCTTGTACGCCAACACAAAGAAGATGCTACAAAAAGGCACAAGGTATCGATCTTTATGGCTCCTGAAGGCCTTCTATATCTCTAGATAATTTGGTTTTATTAACTGAGTTGATGATGGAAATTGTCCACTGTGAAGAGTTCCTAAAACTGTATATCAAAACTTATCTTCAGAAAACGTTTGAGACCTTATATTCTATTCTCACCAATAACAGCAATTTTGCGTAAATGGAATCTACTTGCCACTTGTTCCGCTTGCAGTGTGGCCATTGTGATTCAAAGTAATCATGTCGTAAATGAATGCACCTCCTAGGTTTTCTAGTTCATGTCATAAGTACTACTTCCACGAACTACTTTCGTGGGATACTTTGAACGAACGTACATTTCTGTAGAATCATTGACTCATGGGGGTAAATGTTGAGATAATGACCTTCTCATTCCAACCAAGCAAATTTTTTTTTTTATTGTAAAAGTACTCTACGTTTAACGTAATTACCCTAAGATGGAGCTTCAACTTCACAAGAACTCTTGAAAGTCAAGTAAAAATAATTTAAATCATTCCTTTAGCAACAGATGCGGTCACCAAAACTAACCAGAAAACATCCTGATTCCTTTATCTACTGTTACTCTCTGTCAATCGCTTTATTTCAGGTTCTGTTATATAATTTAATAGTGCCCCGTTCTGAAAATATTCATTCGTTATTTTGTTAATTCCTTGCGATAACCTACGTACACGCAATGATTGTTGGAAAGGTTTGGTCGCGGTATGAATAAATGTACTGGCTCTCAGGCCTTGCAATTACACACACCTTTTAAGGAAATATCGTCATCTTAATTGATGGCATGTAATAGTTTGAAATAATGCCCTGATTTAGAACGATAGGAATTGTGAAAATTGATTCATTTCCTTACTTTATCAAAATGCCTACGTAACGTTTGTAAAACAAGTCTAGTCACAGTATTAATTAACGTGATTGCTTTCAAGCCTTTTAAATAACTTTTTCCGGTGGGAAATAATGTCGATTAGAATCCTCCGTTCCACACGAGCAGTTTTCATTTTGACCATGTTCGACAGCGCATTCGGTGTTTTGGGAGAGTTAGTGGCAACCCAATCCCTCAAAGGGCCTCAGCTTGACATCATTGGGCTGATAATTCCTTATGGAAACGAGTATTGTACTCACTTACGTGAAGAAAAATGTATATTCCGTAAAACTAATTTGGTATCCGACTCCTTGATACGCATGCATGTTAAGAGGGATATTACACAATTTTTCTAGGAGCGCGCGTTGGATCTGAGATAAGGCCTAGTTGGCGAAAATCATCTCATATCCAACAGGCACGGGTGGGAAAATTATGTTATCAAAAACACCCCAAAATGTATACAAAACTTCCAAACTTTATGTTTTTAAGCCTACACGTAACACATTTGTAGGGCATGGTATAGTGGCTCATAGCCCATGATAGCTAAGCCAATGAAAAGTCTTGAGATCGATATTTTTAAAGCCGTGTATAAGTAGAACGAAGCATGCGATTAACACTGAACCTCTACACGAGAACACAAATGATTTTAGCTGCAGATTTATTGGGCTTTTCTATGCCTCTAAAGGTTTTGAAAAGATTATAACACTTTTAACAACATTCGCACTACATTCTACCACTTCATTCCCAGGTTACATCTCTCGACTAATCAGGCAGCTATATTGTTCCCCTTACATCCTTTTCTTTCCATAGTTTCAGCCAACGAGAGTGCTTTGGTTAGACAAAAAAGGCAGACTAGTAAAGGGAGACGAATTGGCTATCGCTCGTGCGTTTTGAAGTAAATTTACACTTAAAACTCCATCCAGTTCAATAACTTGCTCGAAGGTGAGCTCTGAGCAGGATTCAACGATTGATCAATCCACAGTCTTCTTTTCCAATACTGAAAAATTAAGGTTGTCAAATGGCCACTCATTTGACCCCTAGTCGAGGTAGATGCCTACCGTAGTAAACTTTAGTTTTACAGACTCTCTTATGTTCCGATCGACGCCGACTCTTATAGAGAACTTTCTTAGACTCAGGATCTCCCAATATCCGCCAAAACATGTATCTTCCGATCATCCCTTTATGAAAAGGGAAGCAGAGAGCCTCACCTGTTTGTGTTGTGTAGTTAAAAGGTCATTACTGATTGTTGGATGTTTTTTTGGGTTAATGACACTTTTTGACCGAGGAACATTCAAGCGTAAAGATTAGCCGATTTCTATTGCATAACCTAAAAGTGATGGCTACTTTTATTAGTATTGTGAGAAATCAACAATCAAAACCGCTGTTTAACACAAATTCTAGGAAAGGGTGTTCTTCGCCAGGGAACAAAGTGCATCTCCACCAAAGCTTTCTCATGTAGTCACTGCATTTAACTGGGTTCTCACAGTTAAGATGAAGAACTTTAAAATTGTAGGTATTAATTTTTTTTTCCTAGACTACGACGCATTCCAACTCTGAAACAGGAAGAACAACCTACATAAAACTAAAATTGAGTCATCCTTGTTTTAGGGTTATTATTTTTATTTTCTGATCCTTAGCACGATGTCTCCCACCAATTGTGAAAACCACGACGTACTAATAGCTTTGTTCAGCCATATTCAGTTTACAGCATAATTTGTCTTTGCTCGCTGAGGAAGGGCCAGAAGAGAAAGACTAGAACCAAGTTAGTGATCTCTATCAGGATAGTGCTGAAGTTAACTTCTCGGCCATTTAATGTTCACACGCTTATAGACCAAGGAAGGCTAAACCCCGATGTAGTTACAAATTCAGAGCTGCATGTAAAAATGAACGAAGTGAGTAGCGTCTGGCCGAGACGAAGGAAGGATTCTGGGGAAATTTTGCAAGTAAAATTTGATGGAGAAACCCCTCATTTCTATAACAGCAACAACACATTAATGAGGAAAGCATTTAAGTTTATTTCAACCGAACATTACATAAATGTCTTAAACATTAGCATCGTCGTCAGATTAGGACATTAATTGCTCTTAAGTTTTACTTAGAGTAGTGCGGCTTTACCCATATTGTTACTTTTCATGAAAACTCCCACGAGGAAAAATTCGTTGACTTTCTGGTCAAGGTACTTGGCAGATCACTGGATTGTAGGAAACCACTAGTACTTCAGAGGGCAACTACGATATAAGGGAGTGAGTATTCGGCGATCACAACATTTGTGGGTCTTTGGGTTGTAGCGACGCAAACCACACGTTCGCGTTAGGGGAGGTCTAGGGCAGGTTGCATATCGTGGAACGACTTTACGCAATTTTCCGAGGTAACAGCATCGGTGGGTCTTTGGGTTGTAGCGACGCAAACCACACGTTAGGGGAGGACTAGGGCAGATTGCATATCGTGGAACGACTTTACGCAATTTTCCGAGGTTACAGCATCGGTGGGTCTTTGGGTTGTAGCGACGCCAACCACACTTCAGGGGAAGACTAAGGCATATGAATTTCTTTGGGACCACTTTGCCATTGCAACATTTTTTTGTCAGACTGAAGAAATGTTTACCACAAGTAACGTCTTCCTTTGGCATGTCTAAGAAACCCTCTTCTCGGTCTGAATCTAATGAAACGAAGAAGGAGCGGGTGGTTCGTTATGCAAACAATTATTGTTCAAGAAGGAGTAAAGTAACTGGTGCGGTTCAGAAATAGTGAAGATACATATTTAAATTATAAATTTTACCTGAATAGTCCTCATCTTGCTCTTCTTCCAATTCCTCGTCTTCTTCACTGTTTTCTGTTGATAATTCAAGAAAAAAATTATTATTCATCCACAATATATCGAATTGTTTCTGGACTAGAACATCAAATCCTTAAATTGTACTATTAATTGGGGGTGAAGAAACTGATGAGAAACTCTTCATTTTCCACTTTGTTAATTTAGGTACGAAGTTTACTGTACTATTTTGAAAGCACCAGTTCGTTGCTGTATTTCTTTTATTAGCGAAGGGAATCGGGTTTATATTAATGGACAGTCCTGATCCATTACATAAAAGATACTGGGTCAATTTGAACCAATAATGATGTCAAACGGATCAGATAGATAGCCACTGAAAGCTGTTTGTGTCAGACCTTGGGTCTGACACAAACAGCTTTTAAAATTACAAATTGTCATTCGTGTTAGCAATTTTGATAGGAAATTGATCACTCGGATGAAGATGAATTAGTACATTTGGAAACAAACTATTTATTTTCTTCCGCTGAATGTTGTATTGGCTGTCAATATTATTTTACATTTCGTCTGTAATTTCGCGGTATTGGCAACTGTTAGTAACATAATTTTCTACCCATGTCATGCTCTATTTCATCGTCATCTTGTGGATAGTCTTCTTGGGCATCATCCTCTGCAGAAAATGGAAAATATTGCCAAAAAATTAGCTGATCGAATCGAGTTTCTGGCAAATTATTCCATGAAATTCCCTTCCATAAATCCCAGTTCTCCAACCGGAAATTAGGCGTATTGCAATTCATAAACTCTTCTCGTGAGCTACAGGACATTCGTGGTCTTAGACATATTTATGGAAATCACTGATTGAATGATTGATAGAAACGAAGCAAAATGGTACATTTTAAACTTAGTGATCGAAGAGAAAATTCAGTGGCATGATGCAATCGGAAAAATGAATCATTTCTCCTATCAAGAGAATAGTTTCAACATCTTGTAAGCTTACTTCATGCTTTAGTTTTAGGTGTTTTACCCCACCTGGGTCACTCTCCTTCTGAGTGTCATCCTCAGCTGCCTCGTATGAAGTTTCTTCTTTCATGGTGTCTTGTTCTATAGGAGCATCTTCTAGTTGTTCTTCTTCCGTTTCTTCGCTGTCCTCGGCTGAAAGAGTATTAAGTTGTTAACATGGATGAGTGACTGAATGACTGATTGACGGACTGATTGGTTG